AAAAAAAAAAAAAAAAAAAAAAAAAAAAAAATCAGGGAAGAACGTGGGTGCCCCAATCTGGTGATGGTTTCTGCCCTCTCTTCCAACAACACCTTATTTAATGCTAAATACACGAAGCTGAGCTCAGTATGAGTTGTAACAATATATGTTTCTGACCTTATTTCTTAGCCTGATATATTTTATAAGTGAACCATTGTTCTATATTTTCTATACCTCCTCTGTTTCCCATCATAAGCTATGATTGAAAATGGAAGATAAAATAAATAATTTAAGCCATTTGAGGTGTCACTCAACAAGAAGTTTCTAAATCCTAAAAAATGAATTGCTTTGAAAAACAGAAGAATGTCCTTATTTGTCTCATTGTCTGCCTTTTCTTCTCAAAACATACACAGGATAAGATGGGCAAAAATATTCAGTGGGAGGGAGAAAGGAATGGGGCCCATATTTCTTAGTAATTAGTTCAGTATTTATGATATAACTTACAAACTATGTGCCCAAGTAATTGTAGGGTGTTTTGTTGTTGTTGTTTGGACTAGTCAATAGTGTGTAAGGAGCACAAACCTGTTTATGTTCTTCATTGGGGACGCTAAGGAAACTCTCTGGCTTGGGGAAAGGCACAGTCAGGATTGTCATTTTAAATCTTGTTTTTCCTCATATGCTTTGTTCAGTGGAGGAGAAAGGGATCAAGGGTGTTTTGTTGTTGTTGTTGTTTGGACTAGTCAATAGTGTGTAAGGAGCACAAACCTGTTTATGTTCTTCATTGGGGACGCTAAGGAAACTCTTAGCAGCTGTGTCTTCTAGTGCGTACTGTTGATTGTTTTCTCTCGAACACTAGGGCCTTTATGCCGTGGGAAATTTTCTGCCTAGTGAAGAGAGCATGTTTCAGCACAGAGAAGCGCTCAGGTCTCTGACGGACCTCCACCAGGACCCCAGCCGAGTTTTATCAGCTAAAAACGGGAGCAGCAGTGATGGCATCGCTCACACGGAAGGCATCCTCAACCGAACCCCCAGAGACGCCAGCTCACTGACCAACCTGAAAAGGGCAAACGCTGATGTCGAAATCATCACCCCGCGGAGCCCCATGGGGAAGGAGAACATGGTGACCTTCAGCAACACCCTGCCGAGAGCCAACACCCCTTCCATTGAAGACCCTGTCAGAAGAAACGCGACCATTCACGCCTCCATGGATTCCGCTCGGTCCAAGCAGCTCCTCACCCAGTGGAAGAATAAGAACGAAAGTCGCAAGTTGTCCCTGCAAGTGATAGAGACGGAGCCCGGACAGTCACCGTCCAGATCCATAGAGATGAGGTCAAGCTCCGAGCCAGCCAGGGTGGGGGTGAACGGAGACCACCACGGTCCTGGCAATCAGTACCTCAAGGTCCAGCCTGGCAGCGTCCCCGGCTGTAACAACAGCATGGCTGGAGGGCCACGGGTGTCCATTCAGTCCCGACCCGGGTCCTCGCAGTTGGTGCACATCCCCGAGGAGACCCAGGAAAACATGAGCGCCTCCCCCAAGAGCAGCTCTGCCCGGGCCAAGTGGCTGAAAGCGGCCGAGAAGACTGTGGCCTGCAACAGAAGCAACAACCAGCCCCGGATCATGCAAGTGATAGCCATGTCCAAGCAGCAGGGCGTCCTCCAGAGCAGCCCCAAGAACGCGGAAGGCAGCACGGTCTCCTGCACGGGCTCTATCCGCTACAAGACCTTGACAGACCACGAACCCGGTGGGATCGTGAGGGTCGAGGCTCACCCCGAGAACAACAGGCCCATCATCCAGATCCCGTCCACCGAAGGCGAAGGCAGTGGCTCCTGGAAATGGAAAGCCCCCGAAAAGGGCAGCCTTCGCCAGACCTACGAGCTCAACGACCTCAACAGGGACTCGGAAAGCTGCGAGTCCCTGAAGGACAGTTTCGGTTCTGGAGACCGCAAGAGAAGCAACATCGACAACAACGAGCATCACCACCACGGCATCACCACTATCCGCGTCACCCCAGTGGAGGGCAGTGAAATCGGTTCAGAGACGCTGTCCGTCTCTTCATCCCGCGACTCCACCCTGCGAAGGAAGGGTAACATCATCCTAATCCCTGAAAGAAGCAACAGTCCCGAAAGCACTAGAAATATCTTCTACAAAGGAACCTCCCCCACACGCGCTTACAAGGATTGAGGGATGAATGGTCGTTCTGGCCTTTGGGCGACCCGCAAAAGACCACATGTGCTGTGTTCCTGCAGAATGGGAAGCCTCACCCACTAGATTGTCCACCATCAGCCCGGATCTCTTTAACTCTTGAGAACGAACACACTCAAACTTGTAGATTTCACATCAAGGGGAGGGAAAAGCACAATGCAAGAAACCTAAGTAATGTGATCATGTGAAGAGTTTTCTTAAGACTTTTCAGCAAACTCAAAAGGTTTTGCAGAGGGCGGTATCAAAAGAAAGTGGTTTCCTTTAAATGTATACTATTTTACTTCCTGAATGTGCCAACTTTGGGAATTTTTCTTTACAATTAGCTGTGAGAATCCAGAACACACAGGTTTTCTCTACAGCAGAGGCCATGCAGTATTATATATTCATTTTGCAGAATCTGCACCTAAAGCTCAATACGGGTGGTGCTGATTATTATAGTACATATACCATGTAAACTCTCAAACTCTATTTAGCTGTGAAGTAGTAGTGTGCAATTCCTTGTCAAAGAAATGCTACTTTATTAAGAAGATGCTGGCTGCTTTGTGTTAGAATAGGACAACCTGCAGCTTCTCCATAGTGGCTCTAACAGTCAAAACATGAAATGGTTTATGTGCATTTCTTCAAAATTATGCTTTCTTTAACATCAAAAATTGTGTAGAAATATTTTCAGTGAAAGGGAATATCTAGTACTTTTCTGCATAGTTTTTCTGCTACGTATTTTTTATTTAATTACAGATACTGCTAATGAAGAATCTGTTTTTTAGTGAGTAAATTTGCATAATTTAAACAATATATTGTTTTAGAGAATCTTTTGAAATCATCGTGATCATATTTTGCATTCTATGGCTTCTCCTTTATTTACAGATTAAATTTTTTTTGGATGTTATAGATATGTTCTCCTACTTTGAAAGCAAAAATAACAATTGACATTCCTTGAACAAAATATACTGCTGTGAATTTATAACTAAGAAACCTGAGCCAAAACCTGACTTTGTGGGTTACATTGCCAGAAGTGTTTGTCAAGTCTACCTGTAGATGTTGTCAAACACCTGGCTTAGGTTGCCATTTTAATAAGTGATCCAAAAATTCCACTTTGTTCCAGATTGTTAACTTTCTCCAATATCCTGGTGACCAGTAAATGACAGCCATAGTAGTTGGGTTTTCCCCAAAATATTTTTATTAATTGAACACCAATGGGAAGAATCTAAAACAATATAAATTGATAAATAAAAGTATCTCACAGTATAAATTAAGAATGTTCTTCAAGATATCTGAATAGGCACAATTTTAGTGCTTAACATGCAAACAACAGTTATTGCTACCTAATCTGAATCAAGCTTGAGCCTAAATCAAAGGAAACCAATACTATTGATAATAAGAAGATAAAAACAAGATATTTTGAAATGTTTTCCAACATAAAAGTTTTAAGTATAAAGAAATATTTGGTTCTTGAAATTTGATATTAAACCTTTTTTACTCCATTTCTTAAGAATTCTCATATACACTTGATGATTGCCGAGGGGAAAAAGCAAACAACAGAGCTGGTTGACCTGATCTTAGTCCAGTTTTCAGTGAGAACGAAAGTTGTTTGGAGATGAATAGAATCACATCATTATCAGTTTCTACATGAAAAGGGCAGAGCTTTCTAGAGAAACAAACCTCCTAAGGCATTAGGAATTTAGATAAACCAGCAGAATTGAAAACTCTGGCAATAAAACAGACTCAACCATATCCCTTCTGGCAATTTCCTTCTCAGAGGGAGGAGTGGGAGTAAAATGTTGCCTTCCCCACTTCCCACCACCACCATCATAATGACACTCCTACTGGCTTTTGCCAGTTTATAGAGGGAAAGGTGGACTGGTTTTAGTACTCTGAAGAAAAAAAAGAAAAAGCTGCAGCATTTCAGGTGCAGTATAATATTTCCTAATCTTTCCTATTTCTTAACAAAAGATTTTAAAGTACTTCTCTAATCATTGAAGTTTTTTTTTCTTTACATAAATATTGATATATTCTTTTCTACTCAAAGTGCCAAAGGCTACAGTTTTTAATAACTTAAATTGTACCACATTGTTAAGGAAATATAATGATAGACACTAGAACTCAGACCTCTGCATGTATATTTGATAACACATCTTTTGTAAAAAGAAGTATTAAAAAAATTTGTTTACATTCCACTGGTACCTTAATTTAAAATAAATCAGACTAACAGGTGGTATCTCTTCTTAGTGTTCTATTTATCTTATTTGCTAATGGGAGCACTTCTTCCTTTGTTAGGCTGTGCTTTATTGATAAAAACAAGTATCGAATAAAGAGAGTAAATTATCTTTTTAAAGTAAATAAAATTATGGATATATATACATTTGCTAATGGGAGCACTTCTTCCTTTGTTAGGCTGTGCTTTATTGATAAAAACAAGTATCAGATAAAGAGAGTAAATTATCTTTTTAAAGTAAATAAAATTATGGATATATATATAATAATATAGAGAGAGTATTGTGTTTAATAAAATGTTATGCAATGTTTTCCAAACTGATAAAGTTTGTAAAGTGCTATAAATGTATTTTAAGTACAGATCAAAGCTATTGTGTGAGTATATTGTGCTAACATCATAGAATAAAGACTAGATTTCTTCATCAAAAAAATAGAATATTTTGGTTTTTATTGAGACAGAGTATGAATGAATAATAACTTGGCTTATAGTAAAACCGCTGAAGAATTAAGAATAAACCAAAACTGATTAAATTTATAATTGATTACAAAAAAGTGTTGCACTTAAGAAAAAGTTTGTCTATGACATATGTTTCTTATCATTTAGAATTTTTATTTTATGCTTATTAAAGGTGCTCTTTTATATTTACACAAACATAGATTTTTTCACATATCAATGTTATAGAGCATAAAAAAGAAAATATAAAAAGTCAGGATCAATTGTTCGAAATCAATTTTTCATTAAGATGTGCAAATTTCCTGAAATATTCTCACCCTCTGTGCCATCATGGGCATTGATGTTGCAGCTTTTCCTAAAAGAATCTTTCACTATTAAATCCAGGGTTTTCTTCCAAGCAATTAACACTCTTCATGTGAGTTTCACTGCTGATGCTTTATACATCTCACCAGAAGGTTTTAACGCAACTTTTTAGAGCATAAGACTCATGCTTTCCTCAAATGATCCTTAACTGATTTGTTGAAGGAAACGTGAAGTTACAGTTGTCCAATAATTCCACCAAGTTTATGCAGCTGTCCAATTGCAGCTAAATTCATGCTTATCAGGCAACTACACCATGATTGCTGCCTGGCCAACAGCCACTGTAAGATGCTATTAATTGTAGGAAATGTCTTGGTTATAGGAAAGTTAACATGTGAAAAAACAATGTGTATCTCCTAATAGTAGAAATACAGTATTAGGCCTCTCTAGGTCTTGATGTTTTTAATCTCTAAAATGGGAAAAATCAGCTGTATTATTCTTCCTAAAGTATGTCCTAAAGTCCTTTCTAAATATCTATGGATTAGCATTATGTATTATATCCATGATCAAACACTGCTGATGAGAAAAACAGGAAATAATTCGCTGGTTTAAAATGACTTACTACTTAGTATTGTCATCTTTGATCACAAGGTTAATATAAACAAGTCGATTGAGGTTTCTGAGAGAACTATGTCAACCATTTTACTACATAATTTATCAAAATAGGTGACATATACATGTACCCTGGAACCTAGTGCCTTTCTCATGAAACATCAGGTGAGTAGATTCTGGATCATATTCATAAGAAGCTATCATTAGGGGCCACGTCATTTCTATCTTTCACAGGTCAAGTCTTTAATCGATATCTATGGGTTATTTCATATTACACTTCAAAAGAAATATGAAAATTTATGCATGAGTTAGAGAGTGATTTAATTAAAATAACATAATTGAAAGAAATCAAAAGGAATTGAGATGGTTTAATCTAAAAGAAAACATGGCCTGCAAAATGGGGAAGGCCTGTCTGTGACTGGATACTTAATACCCTCTGCTTACTGAATGTGCCTCTTGTCTTTATTCTGTAAAAGCTTCTAAAATGCCCTAGGATCAAATGGTCCAGTTTGAAGAAAACATAGACTTCAGTAATAGCGTATGGATTACAGGTAAAATGTACTTATAGGAAACCACTAGTGACCATGCTTTCTAGTTGCAGGAGAATATCCAGATGAGCCATTTGATATAGAAATGACTTTTATTCCTCTGTCTATATAATTGTTAGCCAATGAAAGTTCCTAATAGTGTTTATTTGTGTATCAAGTCAATGATAAAAAGTGGAGAACCATGTACAACTATAGTTCTGCCACCAATTCTATTTAGAAAACTTGAGTGCCCATTTTATCTCCTCTACTCACCCTACCTGGAGATTCTCAGTCATTGCCTTTGAGAAAAATCTAAATTATAAAGTTACTTTTTAAAAACGGTACAACCAAGGATTAGATGAAGTTTGAAGAAGAAAAAATGTGAAAATTGTATTCATATCCTGGAGATTCTCAGTCATTGCCTTTGAGAAAAATCTAAATTATAAAGTTACTTTTTAAAAATGGTACAACCAAGGATTAGATGAAGTTTGAAGAAGAAAAAATGTGAAAATTGTATTCATATAAAATCTCCTTTTTCCCTTAATCACCTCAGGATATTTGACACTTGGCTACTACCTCATCCACATTGAAATGGTCTCTATACTTGGAACTCTTTTGCCAACCCACCCCCCAGTATTATAGTATCTACCTTCTAGTCTGTGATGTCCCTCTAAGAAAAGGTATGTGATCTTCGAGTATTAGGAAAATCTCATTCCTTCTACCTTCAGCATAATTTTTCCTGGACTAAGTTAAATCATGACAGATATTTCTGGAAACATAAAGAGAGGACTAAGTTAAATTCGTGGACTAAGTTAAATCATGACAGATATTTCTGGAAACATAAAGAGAGATATTTTCAAAAATTATCTCAAAATGGGGAAAGAATTTAAATGTAAAACTGTAAAACTCTCAGTAAAAAATATAGGAGAAAATCTTCAGGTTCTAAGACTGAAACGGGTCCTTTTTCAGATATTGGTTTATCTTTGCATCCTCTTAACAGGATCTTTCTTTTTCCCCCCAGCTTTATTCAGGTATAATTGACAAATCAAAGTTATATAGTAGAGCACTTTAAAAAGTTCATGGAAAAAAAAAAGAATTAAAAGATAATATGAATCTTTCCATGAGCTTTTTGAAGTATCTTTGTATATTTATGGTGTACACTGTGATTTTTTTTTTTTTCCTTTTTGTCTTTTTTTTCGTGACCGGCAACGGATCGCAACCCTCAGTGTCGCGCCCGTACCGGACCGGGACCGGCAACGGGATCGCAACCCTCGGTGTTGCGCCCGCACCTCGCTCAGCCAGTGAGCGGCCAGTCTGTATGTGGGATCCGAACCCTCGGTGGGAGCGCCGCCGTGCTTCCCAAGCGGCACACTGTAGCAGTGCGCCACCGGGCCGGCCCCACTGTGATGTTTTGATATATGTATATATTATGAAATGATTGCCACAATCAAGCAAATTAACACCCCTCATCTCTCATAGTTACCATTTTTGTGTACTTGGTGAGAATATTTAAGATGCACTCTCAGAAAATTTCATATATACAATATAATTTTAATAACTATACTTACTGTGCTGTGCATTAGATCTCCAGAAATTATTCATGCTGCATAACTGACCCGTTTTACCCTTTGGCCAACATCTCCCCATCCCGTACTCCCTAGTCACTGGCAACTACAATTCTACTCTCTTAACAGAGTCTTTCAGTAGGCAAATGTTAATTTTGGTGAGTTTCAATTTATCTTTTCCCTTTATGAGCTGTGTTTTTAAGGTCAAATCTAGAAGATACAAAAAAATTTTTTTAACTCAACATTAAGAAAAAAAAACAATAAACAGAAAAATAATAAAAGAGCAAAATAAAAACCAGACAAAAATGGGTACAACCCAAGTGTCCATCAACAGATGAGTGGGTAAAGAAAATGTGAAATATAGGGCCGGCCCGGTGGCGCACTGGATAGTGCGTCGCTTGGGAAGCGTGGCGGCGCTCCCGCCCGAGGGTTCGGATCCCACATACAGACCGGTTC